CTTAAATATGATGAATTCGTTATGAAGTGTTTGGCATAAATATTGTAATATCATATACCTTGTGTGCCATAGGTCATCTATGCACAGTTAGCATGACAATATTGACATTTAGTCACAAACAAGGAAAACTTAAAATATTACCTGAATGTTCAATTTTTCCCCCAAGTTTAATTAGACTTGAGAGTTTAAAATTAAATTGTGTTTTAGGTTCCAGTCACCCAATAACTTATCAGATCCAGGCTTAATTATTGTTTAATGTTGCAAATTTAGCACAGAATGATTCTCTGAGTAAAGATCAAGAAATAATTAAATATGATTTGAAAAAGTAAAAAGTTCAGACCGGAGCATGGCGGCTCATGCCTGTAATCCCAGCACTTTGGGAGGCCACGGCAGGTGGATCACCTGAGGTCAGTCTGGGCTGGCCAACATGGTGAAACTCCATCTCTATTAAAAATAACAAAACATCAGCCAAGCGTGGTGGCAGGAGACTGTAATCCCAGCTACTGGGGAGGTGGAGGCAGAACCACTTGAACCCAAGAGGCAGAAGCTGCAATGAGCCGAGATTGCACCATTGCACTCCAGCTTGGGCAACAAAAAAAGTGAAACTCCGTCACTCTCACTCACACACACACACACACACTGCAAAGTCCTATGTATTCTTCAGAGTCGTTAGGAAAGAATACAAGGCTAGCTACATATTAAGCTAACCTTAGATTTAATAAACTATTAAGTTATTTAGGTCAAGAGAGTAATTAAATTGATGCTACAAATTCAACAAGGATTTTTGATTTTTGAGGTCTATCATCTGAAACCTCAGTGGCAAACATAATACACAAATTCAACCTATTTTTGCTATTTGTTAAGTATGCGAATATATTCACTTCCTTTAGTAAACTGGACAAAACTAGAGGACAGACCTTTTCCAAACTCAAATGATATAAATATTTGGAATTCTACTACATACCATTTGAGATTCTGTTTTGAAATTTCATTCACATTCCATTCAATTTATTAGAATGCCTTTTTTTTCCCATTTGAGATGGGGTCTCATTCTGTTGCCCAGCAGGGATGCATTGGTACAATCATGGCTCACTATACCCTTGAACTCCTGGGCTCAGGGGATCCTCTTGCCTCTGCAGCCTAATAATGATTTTCATTTTTATTTTTGGAGAAATGGGGGTCTTGTCTTATTACCCAGGCTGGTGTCAAACTCATGGCCTCACAGAATCCCCACACCTTGCTTGACCTTCCAAAGTGCTGGGATTACAGCTGTAAGCCACCATGTCTAATCTGGAATGCTTTCTAAAAATATGGCATTACAAATACAGAAGGAAGAAAAAAAAAGTTAAATCTCACTTCCAGAAATTATCAGTCTAATAGCATCAGTAAAAGTGGTACTTTTAGTCATGGCATAAAATACACATTAAGGCTACTTTTCAATTATTGCGTGCTTTCAAGTTGAAAAATGCATTCTGAAACATTCAAAAAGATGTTATTCAGTTTACTCATCAAGTGCTTTTGACACTATAAATGACAAAGTAACACCACAGTTACATCACTGAGACTCAAGAATCCTTAAATGATAGGGCTGAAAATAGGTATATGACTTATTTTCCAAAATTTGTATGTTTCTGTATCCCCCAAAAAAATTGAACTATGCATATTGTCTAAAATTATAGTCTTTCAATCTATCAAACATGCTTGCTCTCCTGGCTAGATATTAGCTAAAAATTAGCCAAACAGCCATTTCCCGTTATTCCCCAGCAAAGATGTGAAACCAAAGTGCCTAACCTTTTCCGCCTGGTGGGCTGCCCTCTACTGGACTATTTGAGGTATTCAGCCAGCAGGTCAATGTGACTGTTTAAGAAGGTAACCACCACAGACATAAATGTAAACATTAAAAAAAAAAAAAGGAACTCTTTAGTAAATTAACTTTTACCATGAAAACAACTTCAGTCATTTTGAGAACTGGCAATGAAGACATTTACACAGTCTTTGTCTCCTTTTCAATCTCAGCGGCAGATCTCCAGCAACAATTCTAACGGGTAGGAGCTATGGGTATACTATAACGACCATGTTTTATGATGATTTAAATATTAATACAAATCACATTTTTGTGAGTCCACTCATGCTATGGATGTTTTCTTATGTACAGAGTAGACACATGCTGAATAGATGACATCTGTCAAGTCTCTTGCCACAAGCATCAAAACTTTTCAGAGCTGTCTCTTCTGTGAAAATCCATCTCATGTAGTAAGTTGATTTTCTTTGTGGTTCATCCCCATGCCTGGGATTTGCAGTAATGTAGAACCAGTTTACCATCACTGCCAAAACACTGCAAAAAGAAAAAAAGGCAATAAATCAAACTCAATCTTTATTATTCTTAGATGAAACTAAGAAAATAAATGCTTCATGTATCATAAATATCCACTCAGGTATATTAAATTACCTATGTTACAGGCTATCTCTTTCAAAGGATGCCTGTTTATATCAGACACATATTAATAATCGTGTTTAATAAAATCTATCCTTTAAGCATCTTAAGCGTGAATGAGCTTACATACTTTAATCTTGTCCTTCTCTACATCTCCAACCACACTGTATGTAATTTCAGCTGTTTTCCAGTAGTGGTGCTAGTATATGTCCTCTAATGACTACTGCCATGAAACTGTAAGATGTTGAAAAGGTCACTGTTATGCTGTTTTTTCAATTTCTTGTAGGCAGATTTGGATGACAGATTGTAAGAACAATGTAGAAGAAATCAAATGTAGATAAAGAAAAGGCCTAACTTTCTAAGAATTACAAAGATGACTTTGAAATATAATTTATTTCTTGGTTCTTCAATCATTGTATTATTTATTAAGATCCTACTATGATCAAGATATTAGAGAAGTAATAGAACAAGAAGGTCATCTTTTCTATCCCAGACAATGAAGAATGGCATGCCATCGCTTGAAATAAAAATGTGAATTAACAATACTATACAATATACATATTATACAGATGTGCATACTCCATTAAGGAAAAAAACAGTAATTTTTTTTTTTTTTTACCTCATAGAGAGTTCCAACTTCTTGGTCTGGGGAAGGAGCAAAGGATTGATTCACATAAATAAACTACAATAAAGGGGAGGAAAACAGAGATGTTTATTGGTATCCTGATTAATCTGCATTTTTCTGGGTTCCAATCAGCTAGCTATTTTGTATCATTTTCACAATTGAAGAAATCTTCTCGGAATTTCTAACTTTTCTAAAATAGTGAATTTAAAGAGATGAAGATCTCATTTTTCCTCCAGAGGAACCAAAATAACACAATTTAAGTTCCCAGAAGAGTGGTTCCTAACTTTTTAAAGCTAAGAAACTTTTAAATATTTTTTTATAAATGGCTTTTGAAGGGCTGGTTATTCAAGAAATTACATTATAAAAATTTCCCCACTTACCCATAAAGAATTTCTCCTAAGAAAATTTCACACACAGATAAAAATCAATATATTTAATATTCAAGATAGTTTGTGCATTTTCTTTGGGTAAACGTATGACATATATAAATTTTTTATAAAGTCACTTTCAGGTAAATGAAGCAGGAAAAAAAGGAACATAATTAAAACCTTATAACCTGGCTCTTTAAAGGATTCACTGTTCAATGTTTTAGTTTAGTCTGTTTTTACTAAAATATTTCTAGTACTTCAAGTCACAGTGTCAAAGTGCCTTCTAATAATTTTCTTTTTGGAAAACATTATTTGCTTTAATATCCAAATTTGGGACTAAAATGTCCTGAATTTAACACAGTATTTTTTTTTTTTTAAGCCAGTATCAGAATAGTTGGTTGACAGATACTATTTTGATCACCAACCATGAACAATCAATACTGCTTGCATCTCTTTTGGGCAACACAGTGTGGTAATTAAGTATATAGGCTCTACTGAGACACGTCTGGGTTTGAATCCTGGCTGTAACTGCAAATGGTATCTCTCATCCTGTTTCCTTATTTGTAAGATATGGAAAATAATAGGACCTATAACTCTTGGGTCTGTTAGGAAAGACAAAAATGACATAATAAAACACCAATTATCAGTCTCTGGTATGTGTACTAAATAGATGTTATTGTTAATTGATCTTTAAATAGTTATACTGAAATATCAATTTGTGCTTAAGGCAGAGTAGAGTTCTAACATAAAAATTTCAAACTGTAACAGAAAACAATGAATTTTAATGTGTATTTTTTGTAATACAGATATAATTTGTGTTCAATGCCTGGCAATTTATGAGCAAATAGAGATTTTACTTTTTGTACATTACAAATGAGGGGAAGGGCTCTCAGTAATAGCTTATTTATTTCATGAGTGTCTATGATATGCTGAGAACGGCACATGGAACTATGAAGATTGATGTGATCTCTACCCTCAGTGAGCTTTCAATCTATAGGACAGGGAGACACACATGAATACATACAGGTGAGGAAAGTACATCTAATAAAGTATGTAGCATAAAGAAATGTACACTAGTCCAGCCTAGCAAAAGAATCAAGAAATGCTTTGTGGGAAGAAAGAAGTAGAATTTAACCAGGTAAAGAAAGTAGTAATTAGGACTTTGTAGGCAAAAAGGACAGAGTAAGATGGTGTTCACAGAAACAGACTAGATGGAGCAGAGAACCAACCAAAGGAATTCAATATAATTTTGTAACAGGTGTTAAATGGAAATTTTTAAAAAGCAATTCAGTTTAAAAGAGATAAAGCCATGTGTTTGTATACTATAAAGTTCTATACAAGTAACGGGTTAACATCATCAATTTCACTGTAGAAATGCTAAGTGGCTTAAAATTTGTTACGTTTAAAGTAGATGTAGTTTCTTCAGGTTTGTGAAAGTAAAATTCCACAGAAGTTATATTTCCAAACTACAAGAACTTAGGTAGAAAAAATTATTTAATTAAATAATTACACTTTGCTTTTAAATCATTTTTTTTCTTTTTTCTTTTAAATCAGCAGTCTTTAACGTCTCTAGTTTTTTTTTTTTTTTTGGTTATAAAAGTCTTTTGTCTAGTAGATTCCTCATGAAGGGATTATTGGAAAAGTATTCCCTGCTAATAGTTTGTGCTCTGATTAAGTCAGTTATGCAGGATATGAAATACTTATCTCTCACATTTTCCTTAAGCCTTTCTGCTACCAAAGTTTGATGATAGCCTAATTTTCTAAGTCATGCCGTCTTCCCCACCCCTAATTTTCTAAGTCATGCTGTCTTCCTCACCCCCTACATTTCCAAATGATTTCAAGTCCAGTAATTTTAAAGGAATTTATCCTGATGTTCATTATTCCTGGTTGATATTCTCAGGCACTTGGAATGTTTCTTCAATATGTAGTTTCAAGTCTCTTATCTTAAATTGTATTTTTACAGTATTCGTTCTCTTTCCTTGCTCTGGTTTTCTTCTTCACGGACGCTTGTCCAAAGGTTGACTCTTCTTTTAAATTTTTTTCATCTTCTATTTTTCTTAACCCATTATCCGTTGTTTATGTTCCTTCTTGTTTAGTTTCCATTTATGAAATAATTTATTTCTAATTCTTTTCCTAAACTCTGTCACTTCATTTCTTAGTTTTACTAATGCTGATTCTGTTTTTCTTTCATGTTTTATACCATCTTCTTGTTTGTAGCTTGCTTTGAAATGCAAGGTTACGGTTTTCGCCTTTACAGGCGTATTTTTGTCTTGATTTCATTGTCTCTAGGGATATTGTTCTATTCCACATCACTTTTTTTCTTGTAACACTGTACAGGATTTGACCTTAATACTTCCTGTTACTGTTTTTATGTGAGATTAGTTTCCCTCAGCTTTTAGAATGAGGTGAATTAGGGTAGTTTTTCTAACTTCACAGAGCTCCCTCTGTTGTTTTTGTACTGTTCAAAATGATGGAGGCCGGCTTTGAGCTTTCCAGGCTCTGTTCCCCTCCACTTTGATCTGGTCTGTTTCCTTCCTTAACCATGTCTCAACCCTTTTCAATTTTCATTTCCTGAAATTTCTCCTCAGTATGGGGTCCCGGAGCCCTCCTGGGTCTATTTTGACATTGCCTGAGCCCCTTTAAGTCCTCCTTAGTGCAGATCTATTGTCATCATGTGCTAAAGGGCAAAACCCCTCTCAGTCAGCTTCTATGTTTAAATTAGCCCACTTTGCTTCCCAGTGAGGATCTATTAGCTCTTCTGAGGTTCTCCTTTTCTCAGTGCTGTCAGATGCCAACCATGTTGTACTTACTGCTTCTTTTAGCACAGATGCTGATACCAAGCAGGTCCTATGGTTGCTGGTGGTTTGTCCCCACCAACACGTTTTGGGGTTCATGAGGATACCTTATCACCTCATTTTGTTATAAATATTAATCATGGGTTTTTGGTTTTGTTATCTAGTTAACTAAGTTTTGTGGGAATTTGTATGCCTTTTGATACTACTGCTATCTTCCCAGAATTCTCAGCATTACTTTTTTCCTTTAACATCCATTTAGCTAGTTAAAACTCAGAAGATGTAAGTTTTAGTTTAATCCAGGAAAATGACAAAATAAATGTTGTTTATGTTTCCCATTGCTTAAATAGGAAAGCATAATCATATTCACTACAAAGGCTTTAATTTTACCCATACAAAATTTTCATAGGCTAAAATGGTTGAATGATGGCAATTTTATATGGTTTAACCTACTATATACTGGTATCAATCAAGTCCTTTCAGGTTATTGAATGAATATAGGCAATACAAAATTTTAAGACTCTTAATATTAACAGAGAACACAGTGTCATTTCATCTTTTATCTTCATGTATTTTTAAACTAATGCGTTAAATTACTCATTACTCTTACCAACTCTTCATGTTGCGTCTTTAGTAGAGACATAGCCTCTACTCATTTCTCTTAAGCATAGGTCCTTATTCCCCTGACTTTTCCATTTAGCTTCCAACTCTAGATAACATCCTCTGTTTGGGAGTATAGCAACTATACGCACTTGGATGACACAAACTTCTCGCTCATCTTTGATAGCTCCCCCTTTAATTAAATTCTACATGGCGCTCTTATAAAACAGATGCTTTTCTCACACTGATTGATCACCAAGGGAGACACTTACCTGTAAAACTCAATTATTCTCAATTCCTTTTCCCAAACAACTTTCCTTGGAGAAATCCCTGGCTTTATGTCATTCTTGTCTCAAATAACTTCTAGTTATAAGCCTACCTTGCATTTACTTTTTTAATATGAAGTCCCTTTTGTGAGAGCACTTACAGCCAAACTCTTAGATCAGAGTCAGTTTTTTGCTCCTTACTGACAAAAAGAAATTCCAAAATGTTCTGCTTCAATGATAGTTAACTTGTTTTCCCCATCCACAAATCAAATATTTCCCCCTAGCGCCCCCACACAAAAATTCCTGATTTTATTTTAAAAAATACTTAGTGATTCTTCAGCTACCTATCCACTCATGTTCTCTGAGTTAATACTATCTAAGATTGTGATCCATTTGCAGAGAAAGGTGACTGATACATATAAAAATATGAATATATAAAACAATATGCTGAATACATGTAGACATTTAAATTTCTGTAGTCAAATGTCAAATTAAAATGCAGCGGCATTTAAAGTATTAACCTTTACAACTGCCACCGTGAAGTGCTTAATGTGTACTGTAACATATCTCTTAGTTCTTTCATAATATATGGCAAAGATACATTGCTTACCTCAAGAAAAATAGGAAAAATGTAATTGCTATCAAAACAAATTGGAAAAAACCCAAAACTTCTGTAGTCATGTACAGATAATGTAATGTTCTATGACAGATTTTTTTGCATGGGTATTCAGTGACTTTCTGAGGAAAACAATACAGGAGGCAAAAAAAAAAAAAAACAAAACCACACAAGCTGGTTCACAGTGTAAAAAAAAAAACCTAAAATATTTCATTTCAGAATTCCCCAGAAAATCCTTCAATAAAGTATATAAATTTCACTAATAAGAGATAAGGTAGGGCATGGTAGCATACTCATGTAATCCCAGCACTCCTGAGGTGGGCAGATACCTTGAGCTCAGGAGCTCGAGACTAGCCTGGGCAACATGATGAAACCCAGTCTCTACCAAAAACATAAAAATTAGCCAGGCGTGGTGGTGCACTCCTGTAATCCCAGCTGCTCCGGTGGCTGAAGCAGGAGAATCACTTGAACCAGGAGGAGGAGGTTGCAGTGAGCCACTCCACTCCAGCTTGGAAGCAACGGAGTCAGACTTGTCTCAAAAAAAAAAAAAAAGAGAGAGGGAGAGATAAAAGGGAATAACCAAAGCAACATGTGTGGCTCCATATGCATTTCTATAAACAACAGTTATTCATTGTTGCCTAGGAACCATCGCAAATTTTTGTAGGAAAACATCACCACTGGTTTCATACCAACTGTTCTGAGGCCACAAGTTTAAGAAACTTTTTGATGAAGTCAATGAGTCCTTGGATGGTTCGTGTTCGCTCTACTGCCCATTTCTTTGTTTTCATAATAGGAGTATCTCCCACAGCCTTCAGCAAAATGTCAACTGTAAAAGAAGAAAAAAATTTACTGACAATTACATTGGAATATCTAAAGAGAATGGAATATAAAAGACTTCGAAGTCAGAAATATTTAATTTACATCCATCTTATGTATTTATGATACTAAAGATATGTAAGAGATGTAAAAATGTTAGATTCTTTTTCATTTTTCTTTTTCTTGAAACTACAAAGTTTTCCTAACAGGACTAATTTTTAAAGTGCATTTTATCTTAACAGGCATTCCAAACAGAAGAAATACAAATAATCAACAAATAAACAGAAGTTCAAAAAAGCAAAGTAAAATAATGTCATGTCCCTTTTCACCTACCAAACTAGTAAAAATTAGAATAATTAACAGTGTAGATGATACTACATTTAGAATACACTACACTACATTGATAATATGAAATGGTATTCACTTTATGGGTATACAATATGGCATGCAGTATGCTAATACAGGTCCCAAAGAAGGTATACTTTGATTCAATAGCACTTCTAGGAATCTAGTCTAAGAAAATATGAGATGTGTAAAAATTCACTTAAAAAGATCTCACCTCCATTTAAGCATTTACTTTTGTATGAAACACTGTAAACCTAAATATCCAGCAAGGATATTTGGAGATGACTGATTAAAAGATATTATACTCAATGATAGAATGTAGTAAACAGCACACACTTTAAACTGCCTGGGGTTCAAATCCTGGTTTTGCCACTTGTTGGGTATATATGTGGATAATTTAATCTCTCCATGCCACATTTTCTTCATTAGTAAAATGAGGATACTAGCACCTACTCCACTGCATTGTTGTGAGGAGTTAACACATGTTTACAACAGCATGCAGCATACATAACTCATACTTAACAAACCTTAAGATTAAACAGCCTTTATAAAAACACATTATAAAAGTATATTTAATGGCAGAGAAAGTTAGAAAAATGTTCTAAACACAAAACAACATGTATAATATGATCTCAATTTCATTAAAACCATCACAAACACATTAACATAAATATTGAAGCACATGCACCAGAACGTTATTTCTCAGTAGTGACATTATAGGCAATGATTACTTTGTTTTACTTATGCTTTTTGTAACTACCAAATTTTCTACAATAAACTTTTTAATAAAGGAAAGCAGTAAGTTTTAACAATAAAACAGAACCAAAGGACAAAACGAAGTTGCAAAAGGGAAATCTTAAGGTTTCAATGATCCAAAATACAGATCTGCAAAATCAAAGCCTATGAATCTGTCTCTTGAGTAAAGTTATTTTGCTTAAAAAAAAAAAAAAAAAATCTGGCAGGGTGCAGTGGCTCACTTCTGTAATCCCAGCACTCTGGGAGGCGGAGGTGGGTGGATCACCTGATGTCAGGAGTTCAAGACTGGCCTAGCCAGCATGGTGAAACTCCCTCTCTACTAAATAAAAAAATTAGCTAGGCATGGTGGGGCATGCCTGTAATCCTAGCTACTCGGGAGGCTGAGACAGGAAAATCGCTTGAACCCGGGAGGCAGAGGTTGCAGTGAGCAGAGATTGTGATGCTGTCTCCAGCCTGGCGACAGAGCAAGATTCCGCGTCCAAAAAGAAAAAAAGACAAAAAAGTCATCTACAATCAAAGGCTACACACATTGAAAGCAAAATAGTGTACTGCTGCCCCCTAAAGTTAACTCTATTCTATTACACCCTTCTTGCTCCATTCTTTTGGTACTGTTGGGGCCGAATGGGATCAGAGGTCAATTTATTCAAGTTTACCCCTAGAATGAAGGCATCTAGAACATATGATGCACACACACTTTATTTTCCTGCTACAGAACTACTTAACCATCCTAGGTCCCAGTTATCTTTGGAATAGGAAGGAATTTGGGATTTTGATTAGCTTATCTTTCACACTTCCCTTCACCGCTCCCTCAATCCCCTGGGGCTATCAATAAATCAATTAATGCAATTAAACATTTCCAGAAAGTGAAGCAGAAAATATTATGAGTTATGCTACCTAAGGAAGAAGTATGAGACAGCGAGAAACTGGATAAGGAAAAGAATTTAATTATAGCTGCCCTCTCTTTAAAGGTGATTTGCTTTAGTTCTGAACTCCGGATACACATTAATCAACTAGGGGAGTATTTACTCCCCAGGTAACCTAACGTACTGCCAGTGCCACGATCTTGGTCTGTTTCAACCATCTTTATTCTGTAGATTAAAACAAAGGCTGAGCATACAAAACAGTTAAACTGCTTTCATCAGATTATCCTCAACAAATGATGACTACCCTCGAGGTAGGAATTCAATAGTCAGAAACTAAGTTTTATATTGGAGAGGTAAATTCAAATGCTAACAAGAGCCAGAAAATAAAAATCTGATCCTTAAATGACAGTTCAATTTGCAAAAAAACATTGTACAGACAAAAGAAACTATGCCCTCGAGCAATATTTACATCGTAAATCACTGTTTTTTTAGCTTCTGTTTTACACAGCTATCATCAGGGTCAAGTAAGTAACAAGCTTTTGACTAAGACTGTTAGACCTTAAAATGAATCTCGGAAAGTCTGCTCTTGCCTATAGCAAACTGGAAGAAAAAAAATGCAACAAAAACCTGTAAAACCTGCGGAATTCTTTTGAATAAAGATTCTAATGGCTATCCACAGAAATAATCATAGTGTATCACGTGGAAATGGCAGTATGATTTAAAGGGGAATGGGGGGCAGTCTTGGGAGAGAATTCTCCTCCTCAGCAGCAGAAATTGAAGTTCGATGAAAAGACAATGACACCACTGGTTTTTTTTTTTTTTTTTTTTGCGACGGAGTTTCGCTCTTACTGTCCAGGTAGGAGTGCAATGGCGCGACCTCGGCTCTGGCTCACGGAAACTTCCGCCTCCCGGATTCAAGCGATTCTCCTGCCTCCGCCTCCCCAGTAGCTGGGTTTACTGGCGCGCGCCATCACGCCCAGCTAATTTTTGTATTTTTAGTAAAGACAGTTTCACCATGTTGGTCAGGCTGGTCTCGAACTCCTGACCTTCAGTGCTCCACCTCCCCCCCCCCCCACGCCCCGCCCCCACCGCCCGGCCTCCCAGTGTTGCGATTACAGGCGTGAGCTACTGCGCCCGGCCAGAGACCACAGTCATCTTAAGATTGTGAACTGGGAAAGCTAGTCTAGGACAAAATCAGCCTCTGTGCATTGAAGATGTTTACATGCTGCTTTTCTCATAGGCAACTCTAACTCTACACAGACTGCTTTAGAACACGTAACCTTAGCAATCTCTGTATTTTACAAAGGCGAACTAATTCTCAAGCAATAAAAGGTTGAGGATAGCTGGCTCAAGCAATGAAATAACTCACAAAGGTTCCAAAACGTGTTTCTTAAAAAGGTAACATTTATGCCTTTAGTTTTTCCTTAGCGGTCTTCATTTTGCCTAAGAATTCCGTTTTGGGTTTCTGGCGTGAATTCACAACGAATTGGGAGGGGGAAAACAGTATATGCGAGTAAGTCGGAAGGCGTGAATTCGAACCCAGCCTTTGCCAATGACCAACCCTACCACCTTAAAACACTACTCAAATAATTAGTTCCTGTGTTAAGTACCTGGAATTACCGAGACACCCACTAAGCTCCCTCCCTCCTTCACAGAGCTCGCAGTCTGGCCAACTCAGAATACACTGTAAAAAGAGGTGTGGCATCCAAGTAACCCGCGCTACACCTATGGACAAAGATGGTATTTTAACACTCAAAGGTCTTAAAAATCAAAAGTAGACTTCTTTCCTTCTGATGAGACTGGTCAAAGTGTACGTCGAGGACTAGTGCTCCTCTAAATTTTGCTTCTTTACTGGCCGCCACCCCTAGTCGGATGCAATCTGAACCTCCCGCCTCTCTGCCCGGAAATAAACTTCCGAGTTACTTTTTTTCTTGGTGTCGCCAGCAGGTTCCTCTATTCCCGGAGAAACTGCAGCGGAAGAAGGGGGCTCCGGAGTGGTTATTTCTGGGGAGACCTCCGTAAGACCTTCGCCTCCAGCAGCACTTGAGGGAGGAAGCTGAAACACAGACTGTGGCTCCTCCGCCATCTTGCTCGGAGAGACTAGAGAGCGGAAGTAGCGACTGAGCGCAAGCAGTGGGCGTGCTTTTCTCCAGGGAGCGACCCAAAAGAGGCGCCAGAGTAGGGGTACCCAATTCCACAGTGAAAGTTGGAATTACGGGCTAGTCCTTCAAATCCAAGCTGTGGCAGACTGTCATCGTTAATAATGCAATGCGTGTTTCTCCGCGACAACAGACCTCAGGAGAGGACCGTAGGCAACGTGCCAGTGCTCAGTCGAGTGAGCAGACACCCCTTAGGCAACTGGCTCGGACCCAGAAACGTTTCCGCTTTCCTCAGTGCCTGCCCCGCCCAAGCCCCGCCCCTCGGGCCCCGCCCAGCTGCTCGAGAGCGCGCGCGCGCGCGTGCGGGAGGGGGCGGGTGGGGAAGGATTGCAGGCGAGATTACTAGGCGAGGCTCGCGCGCCCGCCCCCGCCCTGGCCCCCAGTGCCCACCCGGTCGGCCCGGTACAGCCATGATCAAGGCGATCCTAATTTTCAATAACCACGGGAAACCGCGGCTCTCCAAGTTCTACCAGCCCTACGTGAGTATCCAGCTGCCGCCGATCAGGTCGAGGGGGAGTCGTTGGCGACTGGCAGCGCCCAGCGCGGCTTCCTCAGACCGACCCCCTGCGGCGCGCTGCGGCCCTTCTCGCACCCAAGCAGCCTGGCGCTTGCCCGCTGTCAGCCTCCCGGTGGGTGTGGACTGGGTGCCCACCTCCCTGCCGCGCGGTCAGCCTCCGACGTGGCTCTGCCCGGGCGGTTCCTCCGCCCGTCGGTGGGCTGCGTGCTTTCCCGGCTGCGCGGGCGAGGCCCTGGAGACTTCCCGGTGCCAGGGCCTCGCCGGCCCGGCAGCCGCAACCCACCTGCACTCTGAGCCCTGCGCCGTGGCCCCACTAGCCCACCCCGCGCGGTTGCGTTCCTGCCGCCAGCCGCTGCGGTTAGCCCAGGAGGAGGAAGACGGCGCGCAGCTTGTTCTTCTCGCCCCCTCCTCTGACTCCCAACCTTCCCAGGTGGACTTCTTTCTGTTTTGTGGACAGATGGGCTACTGTTTTTCACTGTAATCCTCTCACAGTGCAGGAACTTTGGCTTCCTGCGTTTGATAACTGCCCAGCTGCCCAGTGTGACTTTCAGGTGTCTCCTCATTAAAAAGGAAGATAAGTGAGAACCTAATATTTTTATCAGACCTTTTTACCAGCTGGCTGCAAATTATTTACTCTCTAAATAACCGGCGACGTGCGCAGTTGACCGATTGGAACTGTGGTTCTATACCTAGAAGTTGTGATTTCAGCTTCTGATTAGGCTTTTTTCCACGTATGGGAATTTGTCCTCATTTATAGTTTTTTTCCATTTATGAAGAATAGTAGTATTTGTAGGACTTTTCTTTTAGAAGCGTGAATATTGTTTATTATGGACAAATGCAGGAGGCATTAAGGTAGTAGAGATAAGTGATTTATTGATGATCGAGGAAGGGTTTTATAGACTTATGTGCTTATCTGAGGGCAAAATTCACTAGCTGAAACACATAAAATTGGGCTCCCAGTGGTAGGATTAATGTGAGGCATAACTATTGTGTGGTATTGTGGCACTTTGCTTATGGCCAGAAATGAGCTTTCAGTTCAATTTTGAAATTGTGCCAAGGCTAACACTTTTATGCAGATAAGTCCCAGATGGAAATCAATCTTGCCATTAAAAAGTAAATGGGAAAATGTCAGTTTGCCTAAAATGATAATGCAGTCTGTGGAGGTGTTAGTTGAAGTGAGAAATCTTGAGCTTATTCTTCATTTTTTTGAAGTTGTTTTGCTTTTGCTAGCAATAAAGAATATTTTCAGCTACTCCTGTGTGGTTTTAATTTAGTGTAACTTAAATATAATGGTCTGTTTAAAAATTCTACATCATTCTTTAATCCAGGTTAAATTCTAGCTGATCCTCCCGAGTGAAAAAAATGCTGTCAACTTTACCTATTTGTTAAAATATAGTAATGGCCTTTATTGAAGGAATCTTTGTCATAACCATTTTGCTAGTGTCATCCATTTGCAGTGTAAAAAAGGTATGTTGCAATAGTAAAACAATTCAGAAAATTATTTTTTCCATATCTAAACTTAAGCAATATTCAAAATAGTGAGTTTCCTGGCTAATCTATATAATCAGTGTATACTACTCATGTAGTGTAGAATTTATCTACTGAAAAATGCATTTAATTTAGAAACTCAGGAATCCATCTTTCCCTTGTCCAAAAGTGGGAACAGAAATATTCTTTACCAGCACTCACTAGGTAGCAGTGACAGTTAATGTGAGAAGTGGCAGTTCTGGCAGCAGTGGTGGCATTTTTGGCCATTGTATGAGTGATGGCGCTACTGGGGGCAGGTAGCTAGAAGATATAAAAAGTAGAATCCTGGTGGTCACTAGCCATCTATAAGTGGGGTAAGAGAAGTTGTTTCTGTGTATTAGGTTTCTGTAAGTTGAGTTTTGCCGAGTGTGTATTTTTGTCTTTCAGGAATAATTTAAGATTATTTATTTACATATTTGCTTCCTCCACTAGACCATAACCTATTTGAGGGCAGATATTTTTTTCATTCATTGATTCCGTGAGTTTGCCAACAGACATTTATTTCATGCCTACCATGTGCAGTCACTATTTTAAAATCTGGAGATGAACAGATAACTTTCTCTCTTGTAGGAGAAACATAGACAGAGCTATTAAAGAGTAGGCTATATTATAGCATGCCAGCTAGTACTAAGTACCAGGGGAAAAAAAATAAGGCAGGGAAGAGTCTTAGAGAGTGAGAGGATGACAGTTTAAAATAGGGTAGTTAGGTAAATTCTCGCTGAGAAGGTGGCATTTGAGCAGACTTGAAGGGGGTAAGAAAGGCAGCCTTGCAGAGATCTGGGGGAAGAGCATCCCAGGTAGAAGGAGCCACAAACGCAAAAGCCCTGAGGAGAGAGCCTGTTTGAAGAACCCCAAGAACGTCTACACAGCAAAAGCAGACTGTTTAAGGGAACATTAGTTGGAAGTGTCTATTTGTGTAGGATGTTACTCTATTCTTGCTGCCTGGAATGTCCTTCCTTTCCATTGCCGGTGTCCAAATTCAACCCCTTGTTCTAGGCCCAATGCAAGTGTCACCTAAACATTCTGTGAAGCCTTTCATCTTGCTCAGAGGCTCCTCTTGGTTTTTAGATTTTGTTTTTTATCTTTGTTGTGGAACAATATTCTCATTCACAGCCTGTCATTCCTCAGGGCAGCCATCCTATAGAATCCTCGAAGGAAGGTATCAGATTTTGGGTATGTTTGTGTCATTCCCAGCAGTCAACACTGAGTCTTGAACATAGAAAACTCTCTAAATCTTTGCTAAATGAATTTATTTAGAATCTCCTCACTTGGGATAGAGTTTGGATTAGAATTGACTTACTGAATTTCCTTCTATCTCTTAAAATGTAGTCCTTCACTAACTAGAGGTTTTAAGAACCCCTGCCTTTAGCACAAAAGTGATGGAATACCTTTTACTCTGCTGTTTCTGTTTTAAAGAGCTCTCTAAGAAGTATATGTCCAATAAGAATAACAATTTTGAGTTTAATTTATTAAACAATATCTAGGGTGTGACTGAGCTAACGATTCCATACTCTGGCAGGATGCTGAAGTTTGAGTCCAAGAGTAATGGTTTAACACTGAGCAATTTGCAGATTGTTGAACCATTTGCCAACAAGTTTATCCTACTGCATTTCATTTTCATTCCTCGTTTATCTCCCTTATAACAACTTACATATTCATGTCTGTCCTTTAACAGTATGCATTTCCATTTCATGCTGTAATAGATTTTTAGATTCAATCATGGCTCCAAGCTGTTATGTGTGAGAAATACGAAGTTACACACCTGTTTTGCTAAACGGAAGTTTTGGTTCATTCTGCTAGAGTCAGACATTAAGAATTCAAGTGTAGGCCAGGCGCCATGGCTCATGCCTGTAATCTCAGCACTTTGGGAGCTGAGGCAGGTGGATCACCTGAGGTCAGCAGTTCAAGACCAGCCTGGCCAACATGGCGAAACCCTGTCTTTACTTTACTAAAAATACAACAATTAGCCAGGCATGGTAGTGCATGCCTGCAGCTGCAGCTACTCGGGAGGCTGAGGCAGGAGAATCGCTTGAACCCAAGGAGGTGGAGGCTGCAGTGAGCCAAGATCATGCCACTGCACTCCAGCCTGGGTGACAGAGCGAGACTCCATCTCAAAAACGAAAAAAAAAAGGAACGTCTGAAAAAAAGTAATTCAAATGTGGCTTCAGAATATATCCCTTTTTGTTTTTGCCTTCTATATCCTTGGTCTATGACTGCACAAATTCGAATGTTTTTCTTGGTTTATCTTTTTAAATTGCTGCTTAGCTTCAGTGACTTGGCAACAGTAACCTTTAGTCTTTTGATATTTGCCTGACAGTATTTGTGTATTACTGTAAATAAGTAATGAGACTTATATTTTATAAACCAAATATATTTTTACGTAGCCATCAAACAAGAAAAAATCCGCTGGCTTATGATTCCATAGTGTATCCTCTGGTAAATTAGTTTAAAAAATTTTTCTGTTTTTATAGAGATAAGGTCTCACTGTGTTGCTTAGGCTGGTCTTAACCTCCTGACCTCAAACAATCCTCTCACTTTGGCCTTCCAAAGTGCTGGGATTACAGATCTGAGCCACCATGCCTGGCCTGTGAATTACTTTTATAAAGTAGAAATGTCTTTCTTTTGTATGAATTATGTTAGTTGTTTCTGCATATATAAAATACTGTGTGTGCGTGTGTGCATACACACCACACACATATGAAGTACAAGCAGGAAAATTTTCAAATTAACATATATATGAGTTACCTCAATTTTTTAATAAACTGTATTTAATTAAACTGTTAACCAAATGCAAGCCTTAGGAGGAACTCTAAGATTCTTCTTTCCTTTTTTTTTTTTTTTAAATTTTAACGTAAAATACAAAGTATTCAAAGTATATATAACTTATTTTTTCTTTTAAAAATATCCCTTAAAAAGATCCATCCATGTTCACTGATGTCTTTTTTTAGTGACTATTAACACATTGTGGCAGATGGGTCTTAATTAAACTTATGCCTGTGATCAAGACAGAATTATCAACACTCCTGAGTATGAGGATGTTAACACATATTAACACATGATATTTAGCTTTTTGTTAAGAAGAAAATTCCATATGATTTGGTTTCCTTCCATATTAGTTATAATGCATTTGTCTGCATAAACTGGGTTTGATGTAGCCTGACTCAAATGCTTAGAAAGAACTATGTTAGGATATGTAATAGGAAGTGGCAGAGTAGTAGACCAATTCTAAAATTATTTAACTCAGCAAATCAATGACTTTATTGTAGATTCAATTTCTTTCTCTTTCTCTACTTTACTCATCACAAAATTACATTTATCCAAAGGCAGTTTTTCTCCTTGAAATCAGTGGTAATCAGTTCGTAGTCCTGGACTATGTCTTTCTCTTCATTCTGGTTAGACCCACCGAAGACCAATAATATAAATAGCTTACCCTAA